CCTCAGCCTTCCAAGTAGCTGGAACTACAGGCGCGTGCTACCACACCTGGCTAATTTTTGGATTTATTGTAGAGATGATGTCTCACCAAGTCACCCAGGCGGGTCTCGAACCTGCGGGCTCAGGCAGTCCACTTACCTCAGCCTCCCAAAGTGGGGGATTACAGGCTGAGCCACCAAGCCCGGCTTCCTTATATTTTTCTAATGTGTGAGTCACCAACATGCATTGCAGGTTCATTGATACATATTGTGCAATAGTCATTTGTTTGACGTCTTCCACCCAGTGTTTTTGTATTCAAACAGTCAATGCAGTCTTGTTTGCTTCCTCCCATATTAATAATATGTAATTTATTGTCCAGTCTGTTGTTCGAAGACAAAGTGGAAGTACACACTCGTGATTCCTGAAAACCACTTCTCAACTGATCAATTATATCTCAGTATATATTCCATCTCTTTATTTGCTTTTTCATACAATTTGAATGGAAAACTTCAAGGAAACATACATTTTAAAAAAATTTGCACTAGCATAAGTTTGTCCTGTATAATTACCAGCAATCTCTTTATGTTCCCTGAAAGAGGACATCAAGTAGTTTGCTAGGTTTATGATGTCCCCTCAGAGGAGACATCTGAGTGCAAAGGGCTAGTAATGTATAACTTCCATCTAATCATGAGAAAACATTGAACAAACCCAAATGGAGAGACAGTGTATAAGATGACTGACCAGTATTCTTCAAAAGTATCAAGGCCTTGAAAGACAGGTGGCCAGGTGTCTGTAGTTCCACCACTTTGGGAGGACAAGGTAGAAGGGTTGCTTGAGGTCAAGAGTATGAGACCAGTCTGGGCAACATAGTGAGACTTCATCTCTACAAAAAATTAAAAACCTAGTATGGTGGCTAACACCTGCAATCTCAGCACCTTGGAAGGCCGAGGCAGGAGGATTGTTTGAGCCCTGGAGTTCGAGACCAGCCTAAGTAACATAGTGAGACTTTGACTCTAAAAAACAAATGAAAAAATTAGCCAGGCATGGTGGCGTGCTCCTATAGTCCCAGTTATTTGGGATGCTGAGGCAGAAGGATTGCCCTAGCAATCGCCAAGTCTTAGGCTGCAGTGAGCCATGATTCATGGCAGTGCGCTCCAACCTGGGTGACAGAGTGAGACCTTGACTGAAAAAAAAAATTAGAATTAGGTGTGGCAGTGCATGTCTGTAGTTCCATCTACTCCAGTGGTCGAAGTGTGAGGATTGCTTGAGGAGTTGGAGTCTGCAGCAAGCTATGAATGAGCCATTGCACTCCAGCCTGGATGACAGAGTGAGACCCTATCTCTTAAAAAAAAAAAAAAACTGGGCATGGTGGCTGAATCCTGTAATTCCAGCACTTTGGGAGGCTGAGGTGAGAGGATTGCTTGAGTCAAGGGGTTCGAGACCATCCTAGGCAACTTGGCAAGACCTTGTCTCTACAATAAATCAAAAAATTAGCCAGACGTGGTAGTACGTGTGTGTAATTTCAGCTACTCAGAAGGTTGAGGTGGAAGGATCGCCTTAGCCCAGCACGTTAGGCTGTGGTGGCCGTGAGCATGCCACTGCACTCCAGCCTGGGTGACAGAGTGAGATTCCAACTCAAAAAAAAAAAAAAAAGATAGGAAAGCTGAGGAACCTTCAGAGATTGGAGGAAATTAAGGAGACACAATAACTGGTGTTGGGATCCTGGATGGGATCCTAGAACAGAAAAAGGTCATTGGTGGAAAAACTGGTAAAGTTTGCATACAGTCTCTATTTGTAACAATGTTAATTTCTTAGTTTTGATAAATGCCTGTGGTTATATAACATGTTAGCATAAGGGGAAGCTGAATATAGGGCATATGGGAACTCTGTACTATTTTTGCAACTAATCTGTAAGTCTAAAATAATCTTTAAAAAAAGGCAAAAAATTTACAGAATCCAAAAAAAGAAAGACACTGTGTGTTTCCTCCCTTCTGTTTCTGGACCTAAAAGCTCTTGCCAGTGTAAACCCCTGGAATGCTTCTGTCCCAGGCCAGTTTCTAAGTCACTCTTTGTTCCTATAGGCCTGGTTTACTTTCTTGTCTTTTCACTTCTACTAGTTTTTACTTCTTCTAAATAGGAATTATTCTTAGTATACTTATTCCTTCTTTTGTAAATATTCTAGGCGTTTTTCTTTTTAAAGAAATGCAAAACATCATACAATAAATTGTACAAGCTTTAAGTAAATAGCTTGCTGAATTTTACATATACTATACAGTGGGTCCTCTGTATCCATGGATTTTGCATCTGTGGATTCAGCCAACCTCAAATAGAAAATATTTGGAAAAAAAATTGTATCTGTACTGAATATATACAGTCTTCTTTTTTTTCTTGTCGTTAGTCCAATGATTAACAATCATTTGCATAATATTAGGTATTATAAATAATTTAGAGATGTTTTAAAATATAATATGCAAATACTATGCCATTTTATTTTATTTATTTATTTGAGTCAGAGTCTCAAGCTGAAGTGCAGCCTCGACCCCCTAGGCTCAGACGATCCTTCCGCCTCAGCCTTTCAAGTAGTAGAACTACAGGTGTGCGCCACTATGCCCAGCTAACTTTTTGATGTATTGTAGAGACGAGGGCTTGCCAAGTTGCCCAGGCTGGTCTCGATCCTCTGGGCTCAGGCAATCCTCTTGCCTCCGCCTCCCAAAGTTCTGGGATTACAGGTGTGAGCCACCACACCCATCCCTGTGCCATTTTATATTAGGGACTTGCATCTGGAAATTTTGGAGGTTCTGGAATCAGTGGAAACTGAACGATAGCTATACATACAAACACATGCTGTACATACAGACACACAAACATGTCACCACCACTAAGATCAAGATGCAAGACATTTCCAGCGTTTGGCAGTATTTCTTAACATTTACATACTCATTGAGAATCTGATAAAAATTACAATTCTTCTTCCCAGAAAGGTGCACACATATAGATAAGGTACAAAATTTTTCTCTATAATTTTGAGGGAGATGCAAGGACTTTTCAAAGCTTGTCTGTGGATTAACATGGGAGCGTATAGACTAAGGGATAAGAATGCATATGGATTCCATCTGTCCTAAACTACCAACAAGTGTAATACCATTGTGGGTAGGAGTAAAGAGATCAGCTGGGTTCATATTCAGGTTCCATCTCTTCCTAGCTTTGTGACCTTGGGTAAATCAGTTAAGTCAGTGCCTCAATTTTCTCATTTGTAGAATGGGAATAATAATATAGCAGTATCTACCTCAGAGAATTGTTATGAGGATTAAATGACTTATATATGTAAAGGACTTCAAATAGTACCTGGCATATGATAACGGTTATATAAGTTTTATCTGTTAGCAGTTCTTATTATTATCATTATCATTATTATTATTGAATTAGGGTCTCACTCTGTCGCCTAGGCTGGAGTGAGGTGCCATGATGACAGCTCACCACAGTCTCAACCTCCTGGGCTCAGGCAATCCTTCTGCTTCAGCCTCCCGAGTAGCTGGGACTACAGGCATGTGCCACCATGCCCAGCTAATTTTGTGATTTTTGCTAGAGACTATTGCCCAGGCTAGTCTTGAACTCTTGGGCTCAAGCAATCCTCCCACCAAAGTGCTGGGAATATAGGTGATGGCCACCATGCCCAGCCAGCAGTTATTTTTATTCTGTGTTAAACTCTACTCCTCATTTTCTGTGGTTCCTTCAGATGAAGCTTGAAAGCGCTTTCCTGGCAGTTGCATTAATCTGGGAAATGAAATGTTGCCATTCTTTGTGGCAAGCTCTCTGCTTTCTCCTTGGTTACCCTGTTTCTTCCTATAAGAAGATAGTTGGAGCACTTTCTCCATGGTAATAGCAAAAAGGACGCTACCTTCTCTTTCCCAATGCCCTGCTGCTGACACCCACACAAAACTCTTCCAGAAAAGGCTAAGCTGTGGCTACTCAACCTGTCCCTGCCTCAGAGTCTCTCTCTTTTTTTTTTTTCTGAGTCTCACTGTCACCCAGGCTGGAGTGCAGTGGCACACTCATGACCACTGTAACCTCAACCTGCTGGGCTCAGGCGATTCTTCTGTCTTGGCCTACCAAGTAGCCTTCCCGAGTAACTGGGAACTACAGGCGCGCATCACCACACCCCACTAATTTTTTGATTTATTGTAGAGACAAGGTCTCACCAGGTTGCCCAGGCTGGTCTCAAACCCCTGGGCTCAGGCAGTCCTCTTGCCTTTGCCTTCCAAAGTGCTGGGATTACAGGTGTGAGTCGCTGCACCTGGCTGAAGTCTCTTTCTTTTCTTTTCTTTTCTTTTTTCGCCCAGGCTGGTGTGCAGTGGCATGCTCACAGCCACCCCAGCATCGATCGACTGGGCTCAGGCAATCCTTCCGTCTCAGTCTTCCAAGTAGCTGAAACTATAGGCATGTGCTACCACACCCGGCGAATTTTTTGATTTATTGTAGAGATGAGGTCTTGCCAAGTTGCCCAGGCTGTACACGAACCCGTGGGCTCAGGCAATCCCCTTACCTTGGCCTCCCAAAGTGCTGGGATTACAGACGAGCCACTACGCACGGCCTAGAGTCTCTTTCTTGAAGGTATACGGGGGTTGATGGTGAGCAGATGATAAAATAGGAAAAGAATATTGACGTCAGGGTTCAGTAGCAGGGAGGGAGGGGAGCTTTTTTGGAGGCTGGGTGGAAACAGTTGATCATAAGACTGGGGTTCGACTTTTATGTTAAAATCCATACTTGGAGACAACAAATACAATGTAAATATATTTTTATACCAATATCATGTATAACTTGGTTCATTTGTAGTTTATTTGAAAAAGTATTGGTCAGATCGTTAAATCTGTTCAAGTCATCAGAAGTGGTTGTTCTTTTCCAGTGCGATGTATGATGTATGGCTTTGGAGATGACCAGAATCCTTATACTGAGTCAGTGGATATTCTTGAAGACCTTGTCATAGAGTTCATCACTGAGATGGTAAGGTTCTTTTGTAATTGGTCTTAGTTAATTGAAGAATAGATTTGGAATTCTGGGCTTTAATTAATTAATTAATTTTTTGGAGTTGGAGTCTCACTTCGTCACCCAGACTAGAGTGCAGATGGACTTTAGATAATACTAAGACTTTTGGTATCCTTTTGAAATAAGCTAACCATTTGAGTGCTTGCTTGTGGAAGTTACTGGTTACTATTTATCACTGGAGGGGTGGAGATTTTATATATATAGTCTATCTCCTCTTCCTGAATTTTATTTATAAATATGTGATTTTCAAATCCTTGAATAAAAATAAAAACTGTTACCCGTAATGTCATTATCCAACATAGTTTTTATTTTTTCTTTCCTCTTCCAGTATTTATTTAAAGGTATAGGCCATTGCTCTGCTAAGCTGTGGTCTGACCATGTGGCTCCTTGAGCTATGGTTGCCATGTTTTCTTAGCTTTGGCCTCTTCTCCTATATTGGAGAGGTAAATCGTGTCTGTCTGTCTTTCTCTGTCTCATTTACTTTCTAAATAAACTTTATTTTCTAATTTTAAAAATGGTATATAATGTTTTACATAGTAGTGATCATGGTAACATTGTTTTTACTCAAAGTTTTATAATACATATTTGTTGTATTCTAATCATAATTTTAGTAGCTATCTAAAATTAACTCTGATTTTTTTCTAATTTACTTAACCATATCCTTATTATATACGTTATTTACAGGTTTAATTTTTTATCTGAATAGTTAACATCAAATGTCCATATTCATGACATTTCCCTCCTCCCTTGTTTTGGATGTATTCGCAGGCATGGGATTACTGTGGTTGTGTGTAGTTCTTATGAATTTTCACCTTGCGTTTTAGATTATTTTCCTTGCTACAGAATAGAAGTAAAATTATTGGATCAGAGAATATGATGCATTTTTAAAATCTTAGGCCAGGTGTGGTGGCTCAAGCTTGTAATCCCAACACTTTGGGATGCCAAGGCAAGAGGATTGCCTGAGCTCAGGGGTTCGAGACCAGCCTGGGCCACTTGGTGAGACCTTGTCTCTACAATAAATCAAAAAATGAGCCAGCTGTGGTAGCGCGCTCCTACAGTTCCAGCTACTTGAAAGGCTGAGGCGGAAGGATTACCTGAGTCCAGGTCGAGGCTGCGGTGGCCATGAGTGTGCCACTGCGCTCCAGCCTGGGTGACAGAGTGAGACTTCGACTCAAAAAAAAAAACTTTTTCCTATTTATAAAAGTATTTCATATTGACTCATATAATTTAGAAAGTATGAAAAGGCATAGAGAAGAAAAAATCTATGATACTTCCTTTTAAAGACAACTAGTACCTATGTTTTGGTAAATACCTTTTTGCACATATCTTTAAACTTTTTATAAAATTGGAATCATACAGCACACACAGTCTTAGACCCTGCTTTTTCCCTGAGATATGTCTGGGACATGTCCCCCATGTCATTGCATAGTACTCTAATATTTTTGATGGTTTCATAATATTGATTGAATGGATGTACTCAGATTTATTTACTCAATACCTTATTGTTTTTTGTTTAATTTTTTTTTTTTGAGTCAAAGTCTCACTCTGTCACCCAGGCTAAAGTGCAGTGCCACACTCACGGCCACTGTAGCCTCAACCTGTTGAACTCAGGCAATCTTTCTGCCTCAGCCTTCCAAGTAACTGGAACTATAGGCACGTGCTACCATACCCAGCTAATTTTTTTATGTATTGTAGAGGTGAGATCTCACCAAGTTGCCCAGGCTGGTCTCTAACCTTTGGGCTCAGGCAATCCTCTCACCTTGGCCTCCTAAAGTGCTGGAATTACAGGCATGAGCCACAGCACCCGGCTAATATCTTATTGTTAAATACTTAGTTTCTATTTTTTTTAGTCATTAGAAATAAGCTATGATAAATGTTTTTGCACAGGATGTGTATACAATAATAGAGGATGAGGCTTGTTTATTTGATTTTTAGAAAACCCATGGACAGCCGGGCTTGGTGGCTCAGCCTGTAATCCTGCGCCTTTGGGAGGCTGAGGTGAGTGGATTGCCTGAGCCCGCGGGTTCAAGACCTGCCTGGGCAGGCGAGACCTCATCTCTACAATAAATCAAAAAAGTAGCCGGGCGTGGTAGTGCGCACCTATAATTCCGGCTACTTGGAAGACTGAGGTGGAAGGATTGCCGGAGCCCAGGAAATCGAGGCTGTGGTGGCCAGGAGTGGCCACTGCACTCTAGTCTGGGCGACAGAGTGAGATTCCAACTCAAAAAAAGAGAAAACCCACAGATATTTATTGGCTATTGAGATGGAGAAGGACTCAAATCATAAATGAAGTGGGTGGTTACAAAGAAATTATAAAATTATTTTATACAAATGAAGACAGAAAACAAAAAAAGAACAATAAATTTGATAGTTGTAATGTCCTTAATGTTTTTTTAAAGTGCTTATAAAGCATAAAGAGAAACGTTGCTAATAACCCAGCAGAAAATGGCCAAAGGACATGAATAGGAAGTTCACAAATGTGAATAGCTATAATATATAGAAGAGAAAATCTTCAGCCTCACTGGCACTTAATAAATGCATATCAAAACAGTAAAATATTAGATTTCTAAAATTGAATTTAAATATGCTTCTTTGTAATAGACTCACAAGGCAATGTCAATTGGAAGACAAGGTAGAGTACAAGTTGAAGATATCGTCTTTTTGATTCGAAAGGACCCAAGGAAGTTTGCCAGAGTTAAGGACTTGCTTACTATGAATGAAGAATTGAAACGAGCTCGCAAAGCATTTGACGAAGCAAACTATGGATCGTGACACCTTTTGTACTTTCTGAAACTTCATTATATTCTAGAAAAAACATAATTGTAAATTTTCTACAGTAAGTTCCTGATGTTTTGCTGTGTCAGTGAAAGAGAAACACAAAGTTCTCAGCCTTAATTTCTATGCCTTTGATTTTAGAGTGATACTGCGCCTTTAATTGCCTGCCTTCATATGACCATACTTGAATTACTTACTGGGTTTTAATGACCACACGTACCAACCATGCAGTTCCTTCAGACTTTTCACTATCTAAATAATGAAATACTGTGACAACTATGTTTGTGCCATTGTAAGCTATATATATTGTAGCTTTTTGCTATGTGAAATCTAAATGGCATTTTTGACTCTGAAAGCTGAGACGTGTTTCATGTATTCTGCAGTTTGTAGACAACGTAGTTGAGAGATTATTTAAGATAGTAAACTGATTTGTGTGTGTGTTTTTTTAAGGAGATTATATAGGAAAGTACAGTTTTTATAAGAATGTTTATCTGTCTTAAAAGATAATTTGTTTTAATATTATTTTCTTTAGATAACAAGAGTGATTTTTTTTTTTTTTAAGAAACTAAATTTTTATGTGAATGCTGCCATGTTGGAAGGCTTGATTTAAACCTTTTTGGGCTATTCTGGGTACAGTGGCTTATACCTGTAATCCCAGCACTTTGGGTGGCAGAGGTGAGAGGATTACCTGAGTCCAGGGGTTCGAGACCAGCCTGGGCAACTTGGTGAGACCTCATTTCTACAATAAACCAAGAAAAATCAGCCGAGTTTGGTGGCATGCACCTGTAGTTCCAGCTACTTAGAAGGCAGAGGCGGAAGGATCACCTGAGACCAGCAGGTCGAGACTACAGTGGCCTTGAGCGTGCCACTGCACTCCAGCCTGGGCGACAGAGTGAGACTGACTCAAAAAAACCAAACAAAACAAAAATTATGACTTATCACATAATGCTTGTTAAGTTTTTAGAACTCATTTTGCCAGGGCAGATTAAAGCTTCTAAAAATAAATATTTTCAGTAGCAGGAATGGCATTGCTTAAAGAGCTGATGTCAGGGTAAGCATCTGGGTCATGTTTTATGAACTATGTGCAAGGACTTGTTCATCGTGGGAACGTGTGCTGAACTAAAACTGTAGCTATGGAAACCACTTTTGTAGTTCAGGATATACAGGTTTTGTGTATATGTAGTCTCTTGTATTAAGTTATTATTGCACTTAGCTTAAAATAAGGATTAAATTGCATTTAAATAGATCATGAATGTTACTCTTTATGAAACTGAACTTTTTGTGTGCTGCTTATAAACATTATAAATCAGTACTAGGGAAAATTTTACTTTCTTAACCCTATTGATACAAGGAATAAAGTATGCAAAATTAAGCAGGTTAATGCTTGGATTTGACTGTGATTTATAACCGTTTTTCCCCTTCCAGAATATTATGCCCATTACTAGTAATATAATTCTAGTATATTTAGCTCACTAAAATATTTTTCTTCTTGTACTTGTAATGCACCTGACTTGATACAGTAATGAAATTCAATGCATGTCTGGGTTGATCTTTTCGTTACTTAGGAAAGCAAAACCAGTTGAAAAGTTACCCTAGTCTAGGGCAACCCCTTCAGGTCCCCTCCCACTGTGGGAACTTTTCTATCCTCTCAATAAATCCTACTTTCTAAAAAAAAGAAAAGAAAAATTACCCTAGTCTAAACTAAGATCAAGAATGGCAAAAAAAAAAAAAAAAAAGGCTAGGTGTGGGGGGTAAGCCTGTAATCCCAGCAGTTTGGGAGGAAGAGGTGGGAGGATTACTTAAGCCCAGGAGTTCCAGGACCAGCCTAGGCAACATAGCAAGACCTTGTCTCTACAAAAAAAAAAAAAAAAAAAATTAGCCAGGGATGATGGCACATGCCTGTAATCCCAGCTGTTCAGGAGGTTGAGGGGGAAGGATCCTGGAGTTTGAGGCTGTGGCGAGCTGTGATCCTGCCACCACTCCAGCCTGGGTGACAGACCCTGACCCCCAAAAGATAAAGACTTGAAGTAGGAGTGGGAACTGGGAGCTGGATATTGCTATTAGCAAAAAGGAGAAAGGGATGCTGGGCAGACTGGATTCATGAGCTTACTAACTTTGAATTCTGATGATAAGGCAGCATGACTGTCTTCCAGTATCTACAACTGTTCTGTGTAATGTAGTCACTAGCCACATGCAGCAATGTACATTTATTTTTATTTCTTATTATTTTTTGAGTCGGGGTCTCACTCTGTCTCCCAGGCTGGAGTATAGTGGCGTAATCATGGCTCACTGCAGCCTTGAACTCGTGGGCTTAGCCTCCCAAGCAGCTGGGACTACAGGCAGGCACCACATACCTGGGTAATTAAAACAATTTTTTTTTGTAGAGACAAAGGCTTGCTGTGTTGCTGAGACAGGCCTGAAACTCCTGGTCTCCAGCAATCCTCTTGCTTCGACCTCCCAAAGTGCTGGGACTACAGGCATGAGCCACCAGGCTACACTTAAAATTAAAGTAAAAATTCAGTTCTTTACTTGCACTTGCTATATTTCAGTTGCTCAATAGTCTCATAGCTTGTGACTACAGCATTGGACAGTGCTGATGTAGAATATTTCCATCACAGAAAAGTCTTGGCTAGTGCTGACCTGGAGTGTCTAGGTGCACTCTCCTAAGTGAATTAACTTTCTTTTTAAACTTGGTATAGAAATCTCAAGCATACGCAGTAACAGAATTATGTGATGAGCCCCTGGCTTCAACTTTTTTCCGATTTGTCTTATCTATTCCCCTACCTTATTTTTTTTAGGAGGAGCAGTATTATTTTAAAGCAAATCCCAGTCGTCATTGTATCGTTTCATCTATAAATACTTCGGAATGTATTTCTAGCAAAAACAAAAAGTTTAAAAAGGTAGCCCAAATACTATTAATCATGTCCTATCAAAAATGAACACTAATTTCTTAATATTCCATCTAATACCCAATCCTTGTTTAAATCTTCTGATTTGTCTTAGCATATCTTTTGCGTGTATTAGTTTTCATTTTTTTATTTTCATTTATTTTCATTAGTTGGAGTCTCACTCTGTAACCCAGGCTGGAGTGCAGTGGCACGCTTACAGCCACCGCAGCCTCGATCTGCTGGGCTCAGGCGATCCTTCCACCTCTGCCTTCCGAGTAGCTGAAATTACAGGCACACACCACCACACCTGTCTAATTTTTTAATTTATTGTAGAGGTGAGGTCTCACCAAGTTGTCCAGGCTGGTTTCGATCCCATGGATTCAGACAATCCTCTCACCCCGGCTTCCCAAAGTGCTGGGATTATAGGCTTGAGCTACCGTGCCCGGCCATGTATTAGTTTTCTATTGCTGCTGTAACAAATTACTCCTCATGTAGTGACTCAACACAATGTATTATCTAACCAGTTCTCTAAGAAGTTTGACCCTAGCTTCACTGGGCTAAAATCAAGGTGGTGGCACAGTTGGTTCCTTTCTGGATGTTCTAGGGGAGAACCTGTTTACTTGCCTTTTCCAGCGTCTAGAACTCCTTTTTTTTTTTTGAGTTGGAGTCTCACTCTGTCGCCCAGACTGGCGTGCAGTGGCCGCTCCCGGCCACCGCAGCCTCAACCTGCTGGGCTCCAGCGATCCTTCTGCCTCAGCCTTCCAAGTAGCTGGAACTATAGGCGTGCGCTACCACACCTGGCTAATTTTTGATTTATTGTAGAGATGAGGTCTCGCCAAGTTGCCCAGGCGGGTCTTGAACCTGCAGGCTCAGGCAATCCACTCACCTCAGCCTCCCAAGGCGCAGGATTACAGGCTGAGCCACCGAGCCCGGCTTAGAGCTCCTTTTCTTACTTAGCTCATGGTTCCCATCTTCAAAGCTAGCAGTGTTGCTTCTCTCTGACCCTTCTATAATCATGTCACCCTGTGACACCAGCTGGTAAGGATTCTCTGTGATTATATTGGACTCACCTGGATAACCCAGAATACTCACCCCTTTTGAAGGGCCTTAATCACACCAGCAGAGTTTCTTTTACCATGTCAAGTAACATATTCACATATTCATGGGTTCTGGGTGTTAGGATGTGGACTTTTTTTTTTGAGACACTCTGCACTCTTGTCACCCTGCACAGCTGGAGTGCAGTGGTGCGATCATAGCTCACTGCAGCCTCTAACTTCTGGGCTCAAGCCATCCTTCTGCCTCAGCCTGCTGTGTAGCTGGGACTACAGGCGCATGCCACCACACCCGGCTAAAGGATGTAGACAGCTCTGAGGTGCTATTATTCTGCCTCTTACAATTTGTTTGAAATAGGGACTAAACAAAGTGTCACCCACTGCAATTTCTTTTAATCAATAGTTCCCTCCCCACTTTGTTTAACTGAAGCTCTCTCTAGAAAATTTATGACTTTTATTTTTATTTTTTTACAAACTCTTCCTGAGGGCTTAATACCTTTTATTTTTTAGCTGGCATGGATTTTTTTTTTTTTTTTTTTTGAGTTGGAGTCTCACTCTGTCACCCAGACTGGAGTGCAGTGGCCGCTCCTGGCCACCGCGGCCTCAACCTGCTGGGCTCCGGCGATCCTTCTGCCTCAGCCTTCCAAGTAGCTAGAACTATGGGCACGTGCTACCACGCCCGGCTAATTTTTGATTTATTGTAGAGATGAGGTCTCACTGCCCAGGCGGGTCTCGAACCCGCGGGCTCAGGCAATCCATTCACTTCAGCCTCCCAAAGGCGCAGGATTACAGGCTGAGCCACTGAGCCCAGCTGGCATGCATATTAGATGCTTGCTATTAGATGCTCAAACAGTGTATCTAGTATATACTGGGGATGCCAAAAATTGTATACATATTTTTTTCTCCACCACCCCTAAAAAATTTATACACATTTTAAGAGATGTTTTCAAGGCTTGGTGGCTCAACCTGTAATCCCACGCTTTGGGAGGCCGAAGTGAGTGGATTACCTGAGCCTGCGGGTTCGAGACCCGCCTGGGCAACTTGGTGAGTCCTCATCTCTACAATAAAAATCAAAAAATTAGCGGGCGTGGTAGCGTGCGCCTGTAGTTCCAGCTACTTGGAAGGCTGAGGCGGAAGGATCGCCGGAGCCCAGCAGGTCGAGGCTGCGGTGGCCGGGAACGGCCACTGCACTCCAATCTGGGCGACAGAGTGAGACTCCAACTCAAAAAAAAAAAAAAAAAGATGTTATCTGTGTCTTACTATTAGTTCGCTGTAATAAGAAGTGTCTGAATGCTGATGGTAACCACTTTGAGCACCTCTTGTATTTACAGAAGTCAAATGGGACTTGTATTCATCTTTTGTTATCAGTATATCTTAAGTATGACAATTTTGATAGTTTTTCCTTTCTTAAAATGTATATACATTTTTTGGCACCCTCTGTATCTATGATTGTACTCGAAACTGTTAGCTTTACTATGTTTAAATTGGTGTTCTTGAGTAAAAACTATAATATTAATTCTAAGTGTAGACATTTTGTTTTATTTTTTTATTTTTTATTTTTATTTTTTGAGTTGGAGTCTCACTCTGTCACCCAGACTGGAGTGCAGTGGCCATTCCTGGCCACCGCAACCTCGACCTGCTGGGCTCCGGCGATCCTTCTGCCTCAGCCTTCCAAGTAGCCGGAACTACAGGCGCGCGCTACCACGCCCAGCTAATTTTTTGATTTATTGTAGAGATGAGGTCTCGCCAAGT